ACTCACCCAGGAAAACATGGCTATGCAGGTCTAGTGGCCATCTGGGGCCCGCAGAAGACTGTGCAGACCCCCAAGGAGTAAGATGAAGCACAAATTCTGGAAACTGGCTTTTATTTTGGTCCTGCTGAAGAATGGCTGGACTTTTTCCCATGGTGGGACAGAAAGAGCTGGGACATTGGAAACCCAAGGGGCTGGGGCAGATTTCCCGAATAAATCCTGCCACAAGACCACAATCTCCCATGCATGTAACCGGAAATGCTTTTCCTCCGGATCCCATGGGAGAGCCTAGTACCCACCCACAACACTATGAGTGAGAACACTGGAGGAAACAACTTCACGAACAAGCAGGCTCACTCCTAAAGAAATTATTTTATAGAGGAGGTTTTCCAAGAACAATTTTAATTTGTAGCATGCAGAATTTCACTGATATTTTTCAGTTACTGCAGATTCTTTGGCTGACTCCATCAATGTGATAGGATATCAATTTTTTCTTTGCAGATGAAAAAGGGACAAAATATCCATGTTTACACAGGGTACAAATAAGGAAAAGAGGATTTCAAAAAGAATATAAGTAATAGAAAGAAAATCAAGATTAATTTTATAGAAAACAAAGTTCTGCTTAAAAGTCTTTTTGTTGTCAAGTTGTTTGCAGCTAAGAAGCTGGGTTATGATATAGCAAACAGAAAAAATGTATGAAAGAAAACATGTAAATAGCATATGGAAATAATTCTTAGTAATAGATTTAGGACACAATAAATTGCCCCAACTATCGCCTCCAAGTTTATCCTTCTGTTTGTCTCTGGTGACCACAACTTGTGCTCATTTTCACAGATAAATCACGGAAATGTTTAATAAAGACTAACATTCTTTTTCTTTTCCTTTTATCCTATTCTTTATATCCTTATTCTTTTCTCAACCATATACAACATTCTGATATTTTAAGACCCTAATATCAATTTAACAACCAACATTTAAATAGATCAATATATTTTTTTTTTTTTAAAAATTCCACCTCAAACCTTAAGAAAAGCATGAAACATGTTTCCCAATGAATCAAAGCCTGTGAAGTAAAAGATTGGCTTTGCTTACATTTTGGTCTGCTCCTGTCTTTGTCCTCCTGCCATCATCCTCTCTGCATTTCTGGTGTCCCCCAACAGGCAGATTACTGTTCCGGAATTGACAGCAAAAAAACAGCAACTTTATTATATTTGCATAAACTCAGTAAGCATTTATTGAGTGTCTAGTATTTACTCGTGCTTTCCATGAAAATGTCTACCACGTGCCTGGTACCATTGGGAGGGCAGAGAAAGAGAGAAGCAGATACAGGTATACAGAGAGGAAGACAGAAAGAGAGAGGGGGAAGGAGGGAAAGAGAGAGAAGAAGACAACCCTGGGAGCCTTGAATTGTGGAACACGAAACACACCACACACACACACACACACACACACACACACACACCTGTCCTTTTTTTTTTTTTTTTTTTTTAAGTGGAAGCAAAGTTTGTTGCAGATTCCCTGCAACAGGGAGGGGGCCCAAGTGGCTTGCCCTTATTTATTTATAAAAAAATATTTTTTTGCCAAAACCCCCCTTTTTAAAAAAATATATTTCTATTGATTTCACAGAGGATGGGAAAGGGAGAGAGAGATAGTAACATCAATGATGAGAGAGAATCACTGGTCAGTGGCCTCCTGCATGTCTCACACTGGGGATCCAGCCCAAAACCAGGCGTGTGCCCCGACCAACTGGAATCACACCGCAACCTCTTGCTTCATAGGTCGACGCTCAATCACTGAGCCACACCAGCCATACCCAAAAACCTGTCTTAAGGAGAGATTACAGTCCAATATAATGGAGATGAAGCATAGAATGACTGCAACAGAGTGTGGTGAATGTCACGGTAAAGACAAAAGGAAGTACTGCTGGAGGACTTCAGAAGAGTATTGCAATATTATTTACAAGCAATTTTGTTTTTGTTTGCTTTTTAAAATTTGTAATCTCTACTCAGCCTAGGAGAATAACTTTAAAATGTGTAAATCAGGATTTTTCCTATTGCAAAGGATTGAAACTGGCTTGAGCAAAATAAGGACTTTACTGGCCTGTGAAATAGAAAAGATCATTGTACTTAGGCAAGTTGGCTCCAAATGCCCAAAGAATGTTATCAAGATGCACTCTATTCCTTTCTAACTATACCCTCTGTTCTTGGATTGTTGCTTAATCCTCAGCAATTCCTTTCACACGTTTGTTCCTAGCAATTCCAAGTCATCATCTTGGAAAAAAGGAGTTTCTCTTTTCCAATACTTGCTGGAGTGTTATTGGACTGACCTGGTTATGTGCCCCATTACCAACACACTTGCTTTGCCCAGGGTGCTAGAATGCTGAAGTCTAACTTGGACAGTGGAGCATGGTTTGTGTTTGTGTGTTTTCAATTCTTAAAATTTCCTAAGAAAGGAATGGGTGCTCAAATCCTGCTACGCTGTGGGGGTGGGGAGTAAGTCACTGCCATTTCTAGCACACATGAACCTGAATAAAGGTTGTGAAAATGGAGAGAAGAGGACCGAATCAAGAAATGTTTAGAAAGTAGAATCATCAGGTGTTGGTAACTGACTGGACAAGAGAGAAGAAGCCTTAAGATGATACCAATTTCTGGATTGAAAAACTGGATTGGTAAATGGTATTATCGATGAAGATAGTTGAAGAAGAAAGATAAGATTTGGGAAGAGGCAGGACAAAGACTACAAGTACAGTTTTATGTATATATATTACATTTGAGTAGTTTGTGGAATCTCTAAATGGCAAGGTCCAATTAATATCTCAGAAAAGAGACTTGGGTTATAGGCAGGGACACAAGTGTCTAAAATCACCAAATAAATGATAGTCAGAATGACTCTTCTATTATCAAAAGAACACATTTTATAATGTAAGCATAAAAATTTAAATATCAAAAAATACTTATTCTGTGCTATAGTAGGACATAAAGATAAATTTTTAATAAAGCCCTTGTTTTAAGGAGTTTCTATTTCTATATATCTTAATTTATGTTGTGAGTTTAAAATTGGTGCATTAGAATTTTTAATTTTCTTTAAAAACTTGTTTTTTAAATTCTAAAAGCCATTTATGCTTTTTGTAAAAAATAAAATAAAATAAGCAACTATAAAGAAGAAAATGAAAATCATCTACAATTATACTTTGCAGATATAATTACAATTTTAGAGTATTTTAAAATATTTTTTCTAACTATAATTTATATGCATAATATTTCCCAGCTTTGATAACATACATACTTTCAGTTTGGGTATCTGCTTTTAAGTTCACTTAACATTGTCTTGAGTATTTTCCATGTCATTAAAAAGTTTTCACATTAATAATTTTCATGGCTGTATAACATTCCATCTTTTGAATAATCATCTCTTTTTTGATCGACATTCATATTGTTTCCAGTCTTTCAGTGTTATTAATTATGCTTTAATATTGCTACATAAATAATTTTCCCATTTCAATTTTTTAGAATAGAGTTCTAAAAGTGGAACTAATAAATCAAGGTATATAAATATTTTGTGTCATGATACATAATAACAAATATTTTTAGAGACAGAGAGGAAAGGGAAGAAAGAGAAAGAGAGAGAGAGAGAGAGAGCGAGAGCGAGCAACATTGATTTGTTGTTCCACCTATTCACACATTTATTGGGTGACACTTGTATGTGCCCTGACCAGGGATGAAACCCAAAACACTGGCATATTGGGACGATGTTCCAACTAACTGAGCCATCTGGCCAGGGCCATAACCCCAAATTTTAATTTCCGGTAAGTTTGTAGTAATTAATGCTTCTTCCCCGCAAGCGATAGGTGTCTGGTGTCACACTCACCATCAGTAAGATGGATAATTTAAAAATCTTTACTAACTTCACTGATAAAATATAACATTGTTGTTAAAAAATAAATTATATATGTTGAGTAAAAGGAGCCAGACTGCCCCCGCCCCGACCCCTCCAAAAAGAGTATACTCTATGCTTACATTTATATAAAATTCTAAAAAATGCAAACTCTAAGTGAAAGAAAGCTCAGTGGTTGCCTGGGGGCCAAGGGGGTGGGAATGGGAGGAAGGGATAACAAAGGGGCAAAAGGAAATTTTGAGGGGGTGATGCATAGTTTGTTCACTATTTTCATTGTGGTGTTTTTATGGTTGTATGCAAACAATGAACTTACCAAACTGTACACGTTGAAAATGTGTAGTTTATTGTATATCAATTACACCTTAATAAAGCTGTTTAAAAATTGTTTTAAAATTTGTTTTAATCTGATTTTTGAAATTACTAATGAGCGTGAATATTTTTCACGTTTTAGTTATGTGATTTTTTCCCATGTTCTCTACTAATTTTTCTACCTGTGCCTTAATTTCCTCCTGGATTTGTGTACTCTTTACATATTAGGAAAATTCACCCTAAAGTTCTCCATATGTGTTTTCCCTGTAATTTTTCTGGCACGGCATAACTCATTTATTTGTACAAGATAATTTTAATCAAGAGGACGTACTTGAACCCTACAAATCTTTAAACTACAGTAAATTGTTAATCATCGCTTTGCAAAACAAAATTCCTTTAAACAAATTTCAACTTAGTACATGAAGGGGTGTTACAACCGATACCTTCAGAATTGGCACCTAAAATATACTGCACTTCTGCTTTGATATTTTGGAGCTATTTTCTTAAGTTACTATGACATAGCACACAGTAGAGATGAAGGACCTTTATAAACAAAAAATATACGATGCTCTTCTGGGAGTTTGCTTAAAATAACGCACGCAGTAATTACCTTCTCTGACTTTCTTGGGCTCCTCCCTTGACTGCTTACACGCGAAACCAAGGGGGAGGGATGATCTCACGCTGGCATGACGTCAAGAAATTTTGACGTCGACGTCAGAAGGCGGTTGCCACGGGGACCCTACTCTACTGACGGCAGAGTCGTGAAATCCCCTGCCCTCCGTCTCCACTCGGCTCCTGCAGGATCCGGGCTGCTAGAGACGCTATAACCTTAAGGGGGCCTCCGGGAGAGGGGAGCGGGGCTGCTGACGCCGGGAGCCCCACCCCGCCGCTCCGGTCCCGCGCCGGCCTGTGGCGGCGAGCTGCGGCCACAGGAAGCGGGCGGCGGCGGCCTCCCCAGGTCTCCCCAGCTCCGTGCACGGCTGGAGGAGGGATCCGCCATATTGTGGCCGCAGCCGAAGGCGCCCGGCAGCGCGAGGCGGGTGGAGGTGGCGGCCCCGGCCCCGGCCCGGGTCTGGCAGGAGTCGGCTGCCCCGGGGCCCGCAGGGTTGGGGAGTGAATGAGCCGCTCGCGCTAGTCTCCTCCCCGCCCACTCCCTCCGCTCTCCGCCGCCGGGACCGCGCCGGGAGGGGGCCGGAGACGGCCGTGGCGGCAGGATGTTCTCCAAGAAGCCGCACGGGGACGTGAAGAAATCCACCCAAAAGGTGCTGGACACCAAGAAGGACGCGCTGACCCGACTCAAGCACCTGCGCTGCGTCATCGGTGAGGAGCGGGGCGGCGGCGCCGGAGGCCTGGGTGGCCGGCCTGCCTCCCGGGGGCCCCGGGGACTCCCCGGTCCCGGCGCGGAGCGGGGCTGCGGGAGCGGAGGGGGAGGCGGCGCCTCTGAGGGGAAGCGGGAGGGCGGTTAATTTGGGGAAGAGAAAACTTGCACTGGTCAACCACTAATCACCACTAATTTTGAGTGAATAATCCCGAGTCATTTTTTTTTTTTAAACCTAGCGTTATCTAAAAACAGATCTTTTTCAGGATTTCGGTAGACGTGGTGCTGGGGATAATGGTGTTTGTAGGATGTGTTTGCCAGATAGATGACTACCGTCATCCGTGCCCAAGTGAAAATAATCCCCCCGCGGACAACATAGACCTGTATTTTTCAAGTTTCTTGTCTCTTGAGGGCCCGGAGGAAGCAGTGATACCTTTTTTGGGAAGTGGGTGGTTCCAAAAAAAAGCTTGTGGGAAGGAGCCCCGCCCTGGGTTAATGCACCTTGTTCGTCACTACTGTCATGTAGGGAGAACTATTATTAATTAGAGCAAACAAGGTAGTTTACAGCTTCCTTTGCCTCTAGAGAATTACATAGAATTCTACTTTTATTTAATTAAAAATTTCTTGTCCTCTGTTTCCCTCTACTTCTGTTTTGCTGGCAAGCCAAAGAGTGCTCTGCATTTTGGACATAGTGTTAAAGGGATCTTGGAAACTGGGTCATTTCGTAGACTCATAGGGCTGTAATAATATTTATGGAATATCTGGTTCCATACTTGGATCTTTTTGATGAAATAGGAGGTGAAAAGGAAAGTTAGTTTGCCTGAGTTAATACAGAGTTAATGTCAGAATGGAGTTTTGAACCCAAATGTCTGAATGAATTCTAGCTTAGAATTTATCTCAAACTTTCTTCCTAATGAGTTTATTCAGTGATGTAAGTCCCTTATTTGAGGTGCCTGTTTCTCTACCATACCATACATACCACATCCCATCACACCACCAGGATACCACCAGTAACGCCTAACATTTGTCTAGTGCTTTGCTGTTTTCAAAATCATTTTACATAAATTTTAATTAATCCTCACAATAACCCTACAGGTAGATACTATCCTCCATTTTTTTTTTTACTAATGAGAGAGCTGACGTTTGGGAATGTTAAGTGGTCATCCAGGTACTAGAGGGCAGAGCCAGAAATGGAGCCAGGATTTCATATCTCCAATATGTTTTTTTTACTTTTCCTACATTTATGACAGCAAATCCTTATCACAAGTAAGTTGTACTTATTCCTGTGGAATAGAAAAAAAAAAAACCATAAAAAGAAGCCCAGTTTTCAAGAAAATATAAATTTTCTAAATGTAGTTGAGATTGTGATCCTTTAATTTATGATATTCACTCTACTTGAGAATTAACTCATTGAAGAAAACATTTGGCTGAGAGAGTGAGGAAAAGAATGTGTGAGTGTGGGAGATGTATCACAGATAATGAAGACTTCATGGAATTTGACACCTACTTGGGATAAATTGTAGGTTGAGTAATGGCAGAGCTATGAAGTTGAATTCCAGTGGAGTATTGACATTTCCTAAATTAAGCCATAGTTCTTTAATTTTACAGTGAAGGAATGGCTCATATATACTTTTTTGACAGAGAAATTTCTTCCATGAGAGAGGAGACAAGGTCTAAATTAAGAGGTCACGCATATCTCATATTTGGTATGGCCTGGTTTCCTCGGTTTGAAAACAAAACAATTAAAAAAAAAAAATCCTGTTACCTTTTAGTAACTTATGGGCTTTTGTTAAAAAAATAGAGCATATACTGTATAAAAACATTTAAAATATCCTTAAGAATCTTAAAATAGAGAACATTGTGATTTCACATTCCCTGCCCTAGACTTTGAGGAGGTTCATGTTTGGAAACATTTTTGCTTGTCAAAACTTGGGAGAGGTGCTTCCAGCATCTAGTAGGTAGCAGGAATGTTGGGGGGGAAAAATCTTACAATGCACAGGATAATCTCTCACAACAATATTCTAGCTTTAGATGTCAGTGGTGCTGAGGTTTGGAAACCTTGTCAAAGTATAGTGTACTAGTATAGGAGAGACACTTCAGACCCTTTTTTGGAAACAGGTACAAGATTCACATAAAGTAATTGCGTATTGCCAGTTACACAGGATTTTGATTTTGATTTGGTTCCATCAGAACTGTATTCTTAACCCTTAGATTGAACTGCCATTTATTTAGGGTACTTATACAATTCAGTGGATCCAAATATATAACATATTCAAACATCCAGTGTAAACTTTTTTCAGGCATGTGTTCCCACTATAGGACAATTCCAGCTGAATTTATAGAACTTGATTCTGAAAATACTGCTATATATTTGATATGTAGGAACTGGAAGGTAAGAGTTATTTTTTAAAAAATACATTTTACTGATTTTTTACAGAGAGGAATAGAGATTTAGAAACATCGATCAGCTGCCCCTTGCACACCCCCCACTAGGGATGCCCCCGACCAGAATCGAACCCGGGACCCTCCAGTCCACAGGCCGACGCTCTATCCACTGAGCCAAACCGGCCAGGGCAAGAGTTATTATGTTTTAAAGAAGTAAAACCTTGTCTAGTTTCAAAAGTTTCCTCTTATCTCCCCCTCCCCCCGCCTCTTTTTATATATATATATAATTGATAGCTTTAAGATAATGACGCTAAGTTAGCACATGTAAAGTGGCTAACTAATGCCTGGCATATAGTGACTAAATGTTACTTTTCATCATCTATGGCAAGGTAACAGTTCAGCCTTCTAGATTTAAAAAGAAAAAAGATGAGTTCTTATTTAGCTAATAAATATACAGTGGGGCCTTGACTTACGAGTTTAATTTCTTCCGAGACCGAGCTCGTTAAGGAGCTCATTAACTCAAGTTACTCTGTCAACTCAATGCAAAAAATCCACCGAGAGACAAATGGTATCTCAAAAAACTCGTTAGTTGGGACACTCATAAGTCAAGGCCCCACTGTATTGATCATTGTTGGATCATTCTTTCTAATAGCTTTATTGAGGTATAATTGACATACAATAAATTGCACATATTTTTAAAGCATGTAATTGAATAATTTTTGGCATTTGGCATATGTATATACTTTGTGAGGCCATCATGACAATTAAGATTAGGAACATATCCAATTAGAATAATAACTCCCTAAAGTTTACTTTTACCCCTTTGGAATCCTTTACTTACATCCCTACTTGCACATACTCTCTTCCCTGGTCTGTCACTGACCTGCTGTCACTCTAGAGTAGTTTGCAGTGTGTGTGTGTGTGTGTATTTATACAATATTTATTTTTGTGTGATTTCTTTTATTCAGCCTTATTCTTTTGAAATTCATCAATATTGTTGTCATGTATGTCAGTAGCACATAGCTTTTATTGCTGAGTGGTAGTCCATTGTATGAATATGCTACAACTTGATTACCATTCACCTATTGATGGACATGTGGGTTTTCAGCTTCAGCTATTGCAAATAAAGCGCCTATGAGGTATACCTGTATAGCACGTTTTCTTTTCTCTTAGATAAATACCTAGGAATGGAATGGCTGAAATCATGTGGCAGTTGTTTGCTTAACTTTTTAAAGAAACTGCCATACTGTTTTTTACCATTTTACATTTTCATTGAAACATGCGGTTTGGGGTGCCGACTTCTTCTCGTGGGTCCTTGTCCAACAAAGTTGAAGAAGAAATTCGAGAACTAACAGATTTTAAAAATAAAAATGTAGAAGTTTATTGGAAGCATATACAAACTCCATCTGGGCAGGGGTGTCCCCAAAGGGGACGCCCTGAGAAAGGGCCCCCAAATGGGAAAAGCCTGCTCTCTCTCTCTAGTGGGAAAAATCTAAATCTAAAAAATCTGTAAATCTCTTTGTCTCTGGCTTTATAAAGGCTATAGTTCTTTGTCTGAACCTGACCCTTTCTAATTGGACCCTTCCTCAATTTAGGACCCCTGTGCTTTCCTCATTGGTCATTTTGTTACATAGTATTAGTTTCAAAGTCTTGGAGCTATTTCTGCTCTTCACATATTCATCTTATCTGTTCAGGTTGGAGTTGCTTTTAATCTCCCTTATGGCTCTCCCAGCTGCTCAGGTCAGGGCTGCTTTTAATTGCTCAGGCCAGAAATGCCTCTATCCTCCCTGGACCCCGTCTTCCTGTCTTATGCCTAATTAAGCTAGCTAGCTAGCCCTTAATCATCATCAGCAGCAGTGTATGGAGAGTACCATTTTCGCTACAAATGCACCAACCCCACTTCTTGTTGCCAGTCTTCTTAATTTCAGCCACTATAAGAACTATGTAGTGGTTATAGTTCATATTTCCCTGATATCTAATAACATTGAGCTTCTTTTCATGTGCTTTTTTATCACTGTATAATTTCTTTGGTGAAGTGTCTGCTCAAATCTTTTACCTATTTTTAAATTGTTTGTTTCCTTATTCAGCTGTGAAAATTCTTTGTATTCTGGATAAAAGTATTTTATCAGATTTTTTCCCCCAGCTTTGAATTGTCTTTTAATTTTCCTAACATTTTCTTTGAAGGAGGAGGAATTCTTACTTTTAATTCCATATAATCAAACTTTTCTTTTATGGTTCATACTTTTGGTGTTGTATCTAAAATCTTTATCTAACCCAAGGTCACAAAAATTTTCTTCTATGATTTCTTTTAGATTTATAATTTTATGATTTATATTTTGGTCTGTGATCCTTCTTTAGTTAACTTTGTAAATATGGTTTGAGATATGGATTGAAGTTTATTTTTTTGCACATGGATATCCTATTGTTCCAGCACCATTTGCTGAAAAAGACTGCCCTGTCTTACCATTGAATTGCCTTTGTAGTTTTTCCAAAACTCAGTTGACTTGTATGTGTGGATCATTTTTGGACTCTTATTTTGTTCCTGTGATCTATTTGTCTGTGTTATTGCTAGTACCACAATGATTTTTTAAATTTATTGTGACTTGATAGTAAAGCT